TGTAGTTTTGTATAAAGTAAGTTGAGTCGTAGTGTGATTTCTAGGAGTTGAACAAGCACTGTATTAAGCAGATGTGTTAACTATATAATATAAATTAGGCATTGAATATTTACATATAGTATGTTTATAAATGAGATTCATTGCTGTGGTGGTGGAGGGAATTTTAAAATGTTATCTTCCTTGAACTGGCCGGAAAATACTTCATTGAGAAGAAGAGAATTTAGGAACTGCTTAAATATGGAAGAGAAAGATACCAGTGAGTACTAGAAGATGATTAGTTGCATTGTATGGTCGAGGAGATATGGTAGGGTTAGGCTTTTCAGGCATGGTAAGGTGCAGCTTCAAGAGGAGAGTTAAAGGAATAAGGTGGGCAAGGAAGAGGTGTCAGGGGTTTGCCTGCTTTAAACAGATCTGTCTTTATACTCATGTCTAACTCCTTTTTTAAGTTTGGGATTCTTGGCACTAGCTGATGGTTGATCCATATAGGTTTATATTTCACAAGTGATGCCTGTATAACTTTCTTTTATTCAAATAAATTCCCAATGTTGGCCACTGATGCATCTCTTTTGGTATCTTTCAGATACTGAGCTTAAGGGCTTACCATACACAAAAGTATATTCTTAAAATCTATATTATAGAATTACCTGTAATCTTACCATACACAGAAAATCACTGTTAATAGTTAGTGTGTCTTTCAAGCCTCTTTTCTATATGTGTTTGTTTTTAAAGTAGAATTATAGTATACATACTCATTTGTAGTTTGTTGTTTTTGCATAATATATCAAAAAGACACTTTAGCATTAAATATTCTATAAAATGATTTTAATAGCTGTATAATATTTTATCATAAGGAGGTATTATAATCTATTGTTAGGAATTTGTTATTGCCACCTTTTTACTAATTTTTGTGATGGACAGATGGACATTCTTGTATGTAGATCTGTTTTGTACATTTCTGATTGGTTTTGGTATAAATTGCTGAATTTCTGGGTAAGAGAAGCAATTTTGCACTTTTGATATGCATTGGCAAATTGTCCTCTAAAAAGGTTAAAATAAATGTCTTTTTATTTTTCTTTGCTTCTTCTGGTTTGGCAATATAAATTTCTCTTTTTTATCTGCTGGGGTGTATGTGTGCTTGCTTTTAAAGATGCTGAATTAAGAAATTATTTAGAATTTAAAAAGGAACACTTTGTATGGAATGTTTATTTACTTAATCTTACTGTCTTTCTCTCTAGGTATTTTAATGGTCTTACTTTTTTGATCTAATCTCATTTAATTATGATTCTCATTGCTAATAAAATATGATTTGAAAAGTAAGAGGAAATATGACTATGGTACTAGTTTTTTGTGGTCAAAAGCCAAGAAACAGAGTATACATAACTTTGCCCTCTTGGCCTTTGGTGTTATTGTTATTGTTAAAAGGAAAAATGGGGCAAAACATGAAACAGAACAATGTGATAGATGGTGTGAAGGTTGTAGTGACAAGACACCAGAGAACAGACAAAAGAGATCTCTAACACAGCATTTCCTTTCTTTTGTGATTAGCTATATAAACCAGAACTTTTTTCAACCTTATCTGTTTATTAGTTTCAACGGGCTAGGTTATATATTGGCATCATTTTAGGAAATAAGTTTACATTGAAATACGTAACGTGTTTTAAAATGATTTAAGAAAAATCTCATAAAATTTATATATATTTCTTAGGATAATAGATAAATAACTTGGATTGCTATAAAAGATTCTTATTATGAAGTACTGTTACTGTCTGTATGGTTGAAATGTCAGAGAACTGAAAAGATTTTCACTAGGCTCAATGAATCTCATTTGAGATTGTCGGTTTAATGAAATCTGTTGCTTTTTGGGAATAGAATTTGTTCTTTTTGGGCATTCTAAGGACTTGAAAAAAGTTGAAAATGAGGATATATATTGACAGGGTGCCAAAGTGACATCTAAAGCTGATTAGAAATTTGGGCTTAGTGGCCAGTAACATGTTTTTACCCTAACTTACTTTATTTGATATGAAGTAGGCAATTTGAATTTAAAATAAGGGTTGGCAAAACTATGTTCTATGGGCTGAATGTGGCCTGCCACACCTGTTTTTTGTATGGCCTGAAAACTAAGAATGGTTTTTGCATTTTTAAATGGTTAAAAAAATTAAAAGAATATGATTTTGTGATTTTGTGATGGGAAAATTATAAGGAATTCACACTTCAATGTCTAAATAAAGTTTTACTGGAACACAGCCATGCTTATTCATTTATATATTGTCTATGGCTGCTTTTGCACTGTAACGGCAGTGTTGAGTAGTGACAGAGACCACATATGGCCTGCAAAGCCTAAAATAATTTACTTTCTGGCCCTTTATAGAAAAAGCTTGCTGATCCCTGATCTAGAATTGTATAGTCTAATTCACTTTTAATTTTGATTTAGTATATAATCCTGAGGAAATCATTTTCTTTTTAATTTTTTTTCTGAGAAACTTGGCAGGTAACGTTCGGTGGTGAATGCGGATCTCATAGTTATTTCTAAACTAGTTTTTATATAACTCTGTTGTCAATCTTATTTAATGATATAGATCACTGACTCTCATGTAATCTTCAGATCTCGGGGTGTTTCTGAGATCTTTTCAGGGAGTTCATAAAGCAAAACTATTTTGATCATAATGCCAGAACATTCTTTGTCTTTTCACCATGGTGACATTTGCCCCGATGATGCAAAAGCCGTGGTAGGTGAAACTGCTGTGCTTGGGCATGAATCAAGGCAGTGTCACCAAACTGTAACAGTACTCATTGCACATACTTATAAAACCAATGCTAATTTTTCCTAAGTAGTAGAAACTGTTACTTTTATTAAATCTTAACCCTTGTTACTTATCTTTTTAATATGCTGTGTGAAAGAGTGAGAATTATACATAAAGCACCCTGCGTCCTGAACTACCATGGTCGTCTGGAGGAAAAGCACTTGTGCAGTTGTTTGAGCCAGTAGCTGAACTAGCTGGTTTTTTCATGGGTCACCATTTTGCTTAAAAGAACAATTGACAAACTGTCATTATTCAGACTTGTGTATTTGGCCCATTTTTTCTTGAAAGGGAGTGAAGTTAGCTGACACTTCAAGGAAAACAACTGATATTATTTGTTGCCAATAATAAAATTGGAGTTTTCGATTCAAAATTAGGATTTTCTGATAACCTCTGTCTGCCACTTTGGGTTTGACAGTTTCCCAGTACTTAAAGAATGTTCTGATGAGATTAGTAGATAATGAAATGTTGACATGTAATTTTTTGGGATAATGAAATGTGCTGTCAACATTTGGAAGATCTTTGTAACTAAGGGAACCAATATTTTCAGGATGACCAATGGGTGATGTTATAAATTCATGCACAGGTGAAAGATCCATTCAGTGTGCAAGAGAGACCAGTGGATTTGAATGTAACAGAAACAAAAATTTCATTCATAGGATTTTATATTCCACATTACAACTAAACTTTAAAAAACTGTCACTTGTTGAGTTTTGGTGTAGTATCAGAGAACAATATTCATAATTACTTGAAAAGACTAATACTTGTTTCTTTTTCAGTTACATTATCTATGTGACATTTCCTTCATATCTTTCATCCGAAACAACATATGACAACAGATTGTGAGCAGAATCAGATATGAGAGTCTAGCTATCTTCTGTTAATCCAGACATTAACAAGATTTACAAAAATGTGAAACAATGCCACTTCTTTCACTAACTTTTTTTGTTTTGGAAAATATAGTAATTTTTCATAAAAATTATGTTACCATGTAATGGGACTTTAATGCTTTATTTTAAACATTTCTAGACTTTTTTTCTAAATATCAATATTGGTATTTAATAAATATTCACAGATACAATTCACATGAACAAAAGCTTTGTAGAGTCCACAATGATTTTGAAGAATATAAAAGGCAGTCCTGAGAGCAGAAAGTTTGATATGTATTATAGATCATGCTTGTTTACCATGATGTCAGTTATATGAACTAGGAGAAGGAATTTTCACTGCTAAATAATTCAGTAGCACCTATTACTTATTTTTTGTCTGAAAACTAAGGTGGAAAAATACCTTTCCAAAAGCTTGTAGAAGAGGTTAAGATAAAATGTCTAAAAATTCAGTCTTTAAGAAATGCTAAATAGTATACATTTTCCAGATATGGATGGCTACCTAAAAGCACACTTCTGAGGACACATTGTATAGTTGTTATATAGTTACAGGTTGAGTATCTCTATTCTGAAAATCTGAACTCTGAAACACTTCTGTCCCGAGCATTTCAGATGAAGGATATTCAGCCTGTTTATATAATTGTTATAAAAGTTATAATGATAGTCTATTATGCTTTATATGCATTCACTCTATTCCTCGTTTAAAGTCTTACATAATGAGTAATACTATCAAGTAACCTGCTATTGGTCACATAATGAGTTTTAAGAGCTGGAGCTGGGCTTGGTGGCTTATGCCATCTAAGCTACTCAGGAGACTGAAGTAGGAGGATTGCTTGAGCCCAGAAGTTGGAGTGCAGCTGAACAACATAGCAAGGTGCTGTCCTCAAAAAAAAAAAAAAAAAAAAAAAAAAAAAAAAAAAAAAAAGAGAGAGAGAGAAAGAGCACTGAGATTCAAGTACTTTTTCCTTTATCAAAATGCTATTATTTATAGCAACTGTGTGTACAGGCAGCAGTTTTCTGTAAATAGCTTACGGGATCTTGTGGTAAAGGTTCTTTTTGACAACCAAACTAGATAAAGATTTGTCTTCAATTTTAGTTTGATGATTAAGGCAAGAAGTTGTCTTCCAGAGTTACAGAGAGACAGTAAAGTGAATGGACTAAGCCGAAACAAATTGCTAGACACTGACTTCCATCAGTAAATTACAGCCTTCCAAATTGACTTGGATAATACGAAAAATGAATAATTAGTATGATTTGTATTCGTTTGGCTGATTCTCAATTTAATATCTGTTTACTATTGTGATCATATTTCTAGGCTTCTCCAGTGACAGTGATCTGATATCTCTTACTGTTGATGTGGATTCTCTTGCTGAATTAGATGATGGAATGGCTTCCAATCAAAATTCTCCCATTAGAACTTTTGGTCTCAATCTTTCTTCGGATTCTTCAGCACTAGGGGCTGTTGCTTCTGACAGTGAACAGAGCAAAACAGAAGAAGAACGGGAAAGTCGTAGCCTCTTTCCTGGCAGTTTAAAACCCAGGCTTGGCAAGAGAGATTATTTGGAGAAAGCAGGAGAATTAATAAAGCTGGCTTTAAAAAAGGAAGAAGAAGATGACTATGAAGCTGCTTCTGATTTTTATAGGAAGGGAGTTGATTTACTCCTAGAAGGTGTTCAAGGTATGATTTTATGTATATTAATATGTTTTGGCATGCTCTTTTGTTGGTACATGGGAAAAAATTACATACATATATCTTCTGTTTAGTCTTATGGAAATAATACTGAAAATGAGAAATTACTGAAGCTTAAAAGACCTATGTATGGGTATATACTTTAAGTTCCATGAGATGTTAGACATTATTGGAGGTGCTTAACCCTCTATTTTTAATCAATTAATCCACAAAAACAGGATTAAAAAAAAAGTCAACATGTCTCGAAGTCTCTTGTATGAATAATAATCTTTCTTTTCTGACTTGAAAAGGCAGTGTTTTACTGGCCTTCATCTCTCTCAGGAGTAATTCACAGAGATTCTTGATGACCTGAAGAGACAAAATGAAATGGATTTTTAAACTAAGAGCATAAAAGATTCTTGGGTTTGCCTACTATTCTGTTCTCTGTAATTGTAGTAAATTCTCATTTAATTAATGGAGGTGATGTGGGACATGTAGAGCTGAATGTAACTGAACATTTGTATATAGAACTTACTTTTTTGAAGTATTAGCTATTGTTTTAACCCTTAAATTTTTCCTTACAGAAGCAGAATGAAGCATTCTGCGTTTAGTTACATGACTTTTTAGATGCAGTATTCAAAGATTGATACTGACATTCTTCCAGTGGTTTCATTTACAGAAAATCATCATTTTCATTGTTCTGTGGTCTTGGATTTGTCAGTACCATTCAGATTATCAGTCTCCTGTATTGCTAACATTTTTTAACTACAGTACTTCTCATTATGCCTAGTATCCTGTAGTCCAGAAGCCTTTTGTAATTTCTGGAGTATAAACTTTCAGTTTTATAAAATGGTGTACCTGCCTGTTTATGGAGGGTCCTAACTGTTTCTTAACCAGGATTTTGACCATTTCTCTTATTTTTAGGTTTCACGCCCACTTTCTGATGCCAACAATTCCTGAATTTTTGGAGAGTTTTACCATGCCATGTAAATCAGGCAACTCTCTTGATTTTCTTTCAGTAACCTCTCATCCATCTACCTTTTTTTGGTTTTATTTTTTCTTTTAGCATGTGTCAGAACTACATTCCTTTTTTTTTTTTTTTTTTTAATTATATTCCCATGGCAGCTTTTATATTCTAAAATTTTGTCGCTGTTACCTTCTCAGTTTCTTTGTCCTTATGGGGTTTTGTCTTAAATAATTTTTTTGACTGCCATGTTAGTAGAGTTTCTGGAGGGAGAATAGCTAAAGAAATGTGTTCAATTTGCCATCTTCTACTGGGAATTCAGATTTCACAATTGCTACTTAATTTTGGTGGGCCCGAGGATCAAACAGCTATTAATGTTTTGTGTGTATAGCAATAAGAGGAGCTGGAGTCTTGTTTCTTTTTTCACTAGTTATTGTCTTACTGAAGTTGCTGATATAACTATTTGGAACCTGTTAACACAGTTTCAAATAATTGATTCTAAATTCATTTCTCATTAATTTTGTCATCTTGATATAATTATATAATAGCTATCACTTTTAAGGTTTCTAACTGATAATCTAATTTTGAAGTTACTTGTTTTCCTGCTTTGATGGAAAGATCATTTTCATCCTAATTTTATTTTTCAAATGGTTTTATAATGTTAGGTTGTTTTTTTTTTTTTTCTTTTTTTGAGATACAGTTTCATTCTGTCACCCAGGCGGGAGGGCAGTGGTGTGATCTCAGCTCGCTGCAGCCTCTGCTTCTGGGGTTCTAGTGATTCTCCTGCCTAAGCCTCCCTAGTAGCTGGGACTACGTGTGTGTGCCACCATGCCCGACTAATTTTTCTATTTTTAGTAGAGACAGGGTTTCACTTTGTTTGCCAGGCTGGTCTTGAACTACTGACCTTAGGTGATCTGCCTGCCTCGGCCTCCCACGGTGCTGGGATTACAGGCGTGAGCCATCGCACCTGGCCATCTGTTGGTTTTTTTGTTTGCTAGTGGAGCATTCTGGTCTTAAAGATTATTCATTTTTATTCTTTGCCTTAACTCTTATTTTAGGTTGGGAGTTTAAAATCGGTATGAGTTATAAAAAATTCCACTCTGACATTTTTCCATTTCTTTTCAGATAATTATGTGCTAAAACATCACTGGTGTTTAATTGACAAATAAAACACATCAGTGTGGTCAGTGTGACATTTTTCTAAGTTATTTGCATTTAATCTTAGAACATTTCATAATGTTACCACTTGATGGCACCAGAAAAATAGAAATCTGTGCTTCAGAATGAGAATTATAGATGCATGTCAGAAAATAACAAATAATGTGTCATTTGGTTAGTTACTTTGCTGATTATGGTGGTGAATTATTTCTCCACTAGAACTTGATACCAAACCTACTAGACTGCTATCGTAAGGAGCATTACCATTTAAACATATATCTCCTATTTAATGCATGTTTGTCTTTTTGAAACCACAATATCCATTCCTGCTCTGGATTGGTTTCTGTTGTTAATATGTCACAATTCCAGAAGTTAATAACTGACTAAATTGATTTTAGTCTTTTATTGTTTATTCATAATGTGATCAATTTTTATTCAGACAAACTATGGGAACCACAATCATAGAAATCTAATTTTTAACCGGTATATAAAAGAACCTTTGTTTCAGTCCTCCTGGTTACACATTTGACCCTGTGTCAAATGTAAGGTCAGGACAGTGCTTCCAGTCCATGGATTCTGTACTAGCATACTAGTCACCGTCTGACAGACATACGGACATTATCCTTCAATTTCTGGGGAAACTGGGGGCTCTAGTTGTGAGCTTGATTTGACCTTTATGCTCAGAAGAGATGTTTCCTTGGGTGAAGTTTGTTCTAGGGTGACAAAACTATTAGTTAAATATCTCTATAGCCAGTAAAACCTATGAATCATTTAAATTGAACTCTTCATAACATTTGTTCTTGTGACCTTTATTGGCGTGGATTGGCATGCCTTATAATAAAAAAAGTATTTCTGGATATCTGATAATTCAGAGAAAATAATCTTTCAGAGCTAAGTAGTGCTTTATACAAAGATTCTTGTGGGTTGGCAAGTTTTGTTATTTTGTTACTATTCATCCTAAAGAAGTTTATCTGGGTTGTTAGTAGGTCTGATAAAGATGGCTTGATGTTTTTCTTATTTAACTGGTATTTGCACAGCTGAGACCACATGCAAAACACAATAGCAACAGCTCTCTTTGCCCATCCGGCAGAGAATAAGTATACCCTGATAGTGGTAACTTTGAATTCTCTTTGAACCTGACACTTCACTTACTGCCTTTTAGAAATGGTTCTTGGAATGAAGGTACTGTCTACTCTTCTAAATTCTCAGGTCTTTCTGGATTTAAGACAGAAAATCCAAAAGTCAGAGTTGAAGGAATCAACTTGAATTTTTGAAAAGGATGTTGCAATATATATCACACTTTCCTGTCCATCTTGTTTATATATTACTGAAAGTGGCTGATATGATTAATCTGTGTGTGGGCTTATTGGAGTTGTTGTGATAATATAAAGTGACAAATGGATTACATAAAGGTATTAATAAAATGTTTAAGTAATTTATTACATGCCTGTCACTGTACAAGGTATTTTTCTTACATTATTTTTAATCTTCAAAAGAACCCTGTAAGTTGAACTATGACTGGCCATACTGGACTTTGTCTAAGGACACCAACATTTAGAGGGTGCAAACATTTAATATAATGATTCTAAAAGCTTGGCACCTAGTTAGCAAGAATAATTATTTAAAACAGGAAGCTACCAGATGGCGAGCATTGTTAGTAACACCCATCTGTGGGCTACATTATGAATTACAGAGTTGATTTGAGAGCTGGTTTTGTGTAGTTTGTTCCAGGTGCCAAAAGTACTGGTTTGATGTCTTTGTAAGGTAGATGTTGTGATCCCTGTTTTATAGGTGGAGAGAACTAAGACTTACATAAATTAAGCAATTTGCTCAAGGACACAAGCCAGTAAAAGTTGAGCTACAATTTTAATCTAGGCCTTTTCTGAGCCTTAATCGCGTCTTCTTCGTATTGTGCTGTACTACCTCTCACATGTTCCCCCTAATTAGGTTAGCATTTTAAAATGGAGAAGTGGGAAATCCTCTCCATTGTCGAATATTTGAAAACTTTCTTATTTTGAGTATTTGTCATTTTTCTTTCTATCGATTTGTTTTCACTCAGCCATCTATTCGTCTAGTTGATCCTTCAACAAGTATTTATTTCTTATATGTACCTGGCCCTGTAATAGGGAATATAAAATGGTTATTTTCTAAAAATATAAAAGAAAATTGAGCAGTGGCCCTTCAAGAAGAGATGTTTCTGTTAATAGCATGCTAATATGACCCATGATTTTATATTGTATATCTTGTTGAAAATATCTGGTAGATTTGCTGCCGTAGTCATACCTGTTGCTTTTCACTTAACTTGATGTTAATGCCCCACTTAAAAAATGCCCCATTATTTCCCCCTGCCTTTCTCACTCTTTTTCTTTTCTTCTTTTCTCATTTTCTCCCTTCTCCTCTCCTTCCCTTTTACTCCTTTCCCCTCCTCTTCTCTTCTCTTGCATACATTATGAGTGAAATTTCATAATGTATTTCTGGATATTGTTGATATCCAGTTTTTCTTTGAAGATTTTATTGGTATTTTTGACCAGAGAGACTATTTTTAATATTAGTACTCAGATAAGAGATGCAAACATTTTCATTCTGGTAAATGGTATAATAAGCAGTACCAAACCATTTTTTTATAGTTTATTCTTGGGTAGATGTGTGCTAGGCTGTCAGGGATGTCCAGATGTATTTCAAACACCATGACCTTATGTGGAGCTTGGACCATTGATTTATTCCATGAATAAGAGTTATTCAAATATTTAGAAACCCAAAGGATAAAGTTTTTGGCTTTGGAAATAGATGGATATATGAAAAAGGTAGTAAGTTTAGGTTTCATAAAGGGAAGCAAGTCATATAATTTTGGTATTTAGGGGATCCTAGAACCAATCCCCTGTGGATA